GCAGGGGTTTACTGGATTTCCTTTGTAGTGGAAAGTCAAACGCTTTTTTGCTAAAAATGTTTGGAGATTGAAAAGTCGAGTAGCATTTCAGTCATCAAGTTCTACAATCATTTCCATATGAACAGCTGCCAGCATTGATCTCACCTTGTAGGAGCTCTGATCCTGGGTCAGGGAGCCCAAACATTAACACCCCGCGTGCAGTTCGGTTAATGTACTATTGTAAATTCACCGGCTAAAAATACACAAACTATAATTTGAAACCTTCATAGTGTTCCAATCTGGTCTGTTAGGCTCTGCTAAATTCACATTTAACTATGAGTAAGGGCAAAAGTAGATATTGAACTTTTCTTAGTTTCTTGTAAGTTGTCCTCCAGCATCAGCCCTGGAGTCACTGCACACAGTGATTTATCCACATCAGCGTGCGTGCAGTGATGTTCCACGATTGAGTTTTCGCTTTTATTTTTTATCTCCAATGAAACAAATGGGTGCTGCATACGGTCACTGGACCTGTTAACTGCTTTCTGACAATGAACTCCTTAATGCAAAAAAAAAAAAGGGAAAGTGAATTAAGACACCAAACTGAACCTGGGTCAGCACTCCTGCACTGTCTGTCTCTGTCTGTCCTTTACATTGTATAGCACATAATGTATAGAATATAGGGAAACCATCCCACTTCTTCTTTAATAAAATGTTTTTTATTAACGCGTGTTCCAGTGTGTTTACTGCCATCACTGCTGCTCAGCTCGGCCTCTTGATTTAGTTTGAACTTACTGCCACCTGCAGGCAAGACTTCCAAGAAAATGTCTGATACCTCCGAGGTAAACTTTCCAGATGAATCTCCACTGAACATTCAGTAATTGTTTTACAATATTATTTATGTAATACCATATAATCTACACCAAGCTCCCATTGTTTTTACTATTTGTCTTCCTTCTGTAATTTGAGCTGTAAATATTTTGTCAAATGTTTATTAATTACCAAATTAATGACTTACTTACTCCAGAAATGTAGTATTGTATTTCTATAAAGTTAAGGGACTTGTGGGAAACAGGTTAAAATAAGAATGGTTGACATTGAAGCAGCAGAGGCTGAGATCCTTTTTGATTAAAACCCCCAGTTCACACAGTGGGACTTCTGTTACAAATTTGCTTTCAAAGCCAGAGCTGAGATAACCAGGTGAGATGACATCACTATGACATCATCAGGGGTTATTTTTTCAGACTTGAGCCAAAAAAGACGTCATACAGCGGTTTTCAACATTAATCTGATCTTGATGTGATAAATCTATAGAGTGCTCCTTTAACTAATATTTAATTAGGCAAATATATAAAAAAATATATTAGTATTTGTATAAAAAAAGAATCAATAGTTTGCCAATCAGTAGGCCCCAGTAGATCACATTGAATAATTTAATTGAGTAAAGTTAAATAATAGTAATAATCCTGTTTTTTATTTGCCTGGCTGTTTATTAATATTATTTTGTGACATTTAGTCTTTAATAATCCAAAAGCCAATTGGGGATTAAAGAGGTTCGTAAACAAGGAAGTTCTGTTCAGCCTGTGAACACAGTTGTTTAACATCTGTAACCCTGACGATCCGTGAATGCAAGTTTATTCTTGATCACAGTATGTTTAACAAAATCATCTAAATTCAATCTAACAGGATTTTAAACAAACAGGTTGGTTAGAATATAACTGAATATCAGTGAGTAAAGTTGCTTTTATTTGTCTGTTTCATTTAATTAAATTGGATTTGCTGAAAATGCAAAACATTTGAGCTTTTCTTATCCATTGTATTTTCAGTATAGATCAACATATCACCATACAGCATGACTGCTTGAAAGAGTACTGTTCTTGGAGGATGTGACATTTGTGACATTTTACTGTATGTACTTTGAACAATGCAAGAGTTGAACCACTAGAGGGAGTAACAGCATTGCTTTTTAAGCTTCCACCCTCAGTCTTTCTGTCTCTCTTCACACACACACACACAATTCATCACCGTGGCCTCAGATTCTTTGGTGTGAAGGACCTGCAATCAAAAAGCTGTCTGGTGCACAAAATCAGAGCATTTCAGTGTCCTTGAACTGACATGAAGGTATTCTGCGGAGGCTCTGTAGCCGTTGTGATGGATGAAAGACTCTTGTTCACTTGTTGTTGAGGAAGATGTTCTCACAATGCAATGCAATTAGTGATACAGAGAACAGAGAAATTTGTGAAAGTGCTGTCCCACACACACACACACACACACACTCACACATACACAGTGCCACCATGGCTTCTTTTTCCTGGAGGAAATTTGTTCTGTCGGCCTTCATTTCATTTCAAAAACCAATTCTTTCAACGGTTCACTCAGTCGTTTGATTCTCTGCTGTTTGAGGCAATATGCATACTGTGTGTGTGGGCTTGTGTAACTACCTGTTTATTTGTCCAGAGGGCCATTTCTTCAGGCCTATATATAACAGCCTCTCCTCTTTGTGGATAACACTGAGAATATTGTCAATTTGAAAAACCCGAGTACCAAGAGGCTGACTCCTGATTGCTGATCTGGAACAGACTACCCAGATCTTCATCTTTCTCTTTTCTTCTCTCTTCTTTTCCTTCCTTTCTTTCTGTCTGTATGTGATATATATCTAAGTGTATAGATGTGTCAGAGCATTGGTCTATGACATCAAAGTCGTTTCTGATCAATCAAGCATTTTTTCCCAGTATTCCCGACACCCCTCATGTCATTTTTTCTCAACAGAAATAGCTCCGCTCTGTTGACCTTTTATATTGAGCAATACCTCCCCGACAAACTGAACTGGTATCAGTTCATTCTGCATGTGTCAGTGGTCTTGAGAGTGTTTGACAGCCTTGGACGTGTTCACTTGCTGTTGGCAGCCTGCAGACTCTTAGAGCAGTAAAATGAAAGAAAAAAAAAAACACATTTTCTCTTACTGTCAAACACAACTCTGACTCTATTACAATAATATAATTTAAGTAAATATTCCAAAAACTGTTGACCAAAGTTCTGTGTTTGTTTCCTGTGTGAACATAATTTAACTCAGGCCAAATGTGTATGTGTGTGTGAGCGCTTTGTCCTCTCTCTCTCTGTGCCCTTGTGCAGTGAACCTTCAATGATACCTGAGAAACAGATCCAGCTGCCCCTAACAGACACATCTGCACCTTCAGCAGCCTCAGGGCTCGTGGTCACAGAGGTGAGAGCGAGGACTTCCTGCCACGACGCACATCTACCACTGAGGGCATACGGTTGTTTGTTTTTTTTAAATATAGGGATTTTAGGCAACCTTGGTGGAGTAACAGTGGAAAACTTTAACAATTTTTATATAGATAGATCTGATGTGTTTGATCTAATCTATAATAATCTAAAGGAAGGTGAGCATTTAAAGCATCTTTCTAAAAACTGAAATGTGAAATCCATTATGTTAAACAGATTATGGCACTCTTAAATGTTAATTCTTGGTACAGTTAAAGAAATAGTTTGACATTTTAGGAAATACATTTATTTGCATTCTTACTGGAGTTAGATGAAAAGATAGATGCTTCTAACAGCTACAGCCAGGATATGATTAGCTTAGCATAAAGGCTGGAAATAGAGGGAAATCATTAAAGTTCATTATCTTGTTCATTTAATGTGAACAAAAACTTGCCAACTGCCAAACTACTTGTAACCAGTGTTACCAGTGTCTTTCGTTCACAGCCTTCTTACTGCAGGCAGCAGGTTCTGTTTCTTGTGGGCTGGGCTCGCTATCCGGTACCGGAAAAGGTTCTCTGGTCTCTGTAATCTCTAAGATCTCCTCTGAGGTCTAGGACCACCTTAAGAAAACCTGACCTATGAATAAGGTCTAAAAAAAAATACCGTCATGCTAATTCTGTGAGCATTACTGATCATAGTATGAAGGAAATTAACGTATGAATTAAAATGAAGTCTCCATTTTACAAACTTCTATTGTTCAACATAGGCAGCTCACTTCAGTTTCACAATTTCATTTATAACCAACAAAACTACTTAGTTCAGAGAGCTAATATTGTTAGTAAATCATAATTTACAGTTAAGGTGCATAAAAAACCACAAATAATGACCTAAATGTAGTTACTGGTGCACCTTATTCTTAATCTCAAATGCAGTTAAACTGCATAATGAAACAAACACAAATAACAACCTTGACTGATGCAACCTTAAAATGTTATTAAATTCTTGTAAATGTAAAAATATCAACACTAACAGTGGAATTCACCAGCAACTTACATCTTTACCAGCAGCAATTAACACACATAACATCAAAACCAAATGAAGAACAGTGTCTTTAATACAACAACATGGCAGGACGTGTCTGCTAACCAGCAGCATTTCTTCAACACTTTACACACACTGTTTTTAAATCGCTAATACTCTTAGCATAATCATATGGGGTTTTACATAGCAAAATAAAATTAAAAAAATAGCGAAAGTAGCATCACGGCTAGCATTTTCTCTGGTTAGCTAGCTTATATGCTAGAAGTTGACTAAACTCACCAATTCAAGGAATTAGCACATTAGCTTGAAAAATGGCGTCTGGCCTCAACTCTCTCTTTTCATCCACACTGTGGTTTTAATAATACATTTTATTTGTAAAGCACTTTTCATAAAAGAATCTCAAAGTGCTACACAAACCAAAACAAAATAACAAAAAAACACTATTCTCAACATAAAATATTAATTAACAATGAACCTCCACCATAAAGCCGAAATGAATTCCTCCATTGTTTAGCTAAGTTTATTACCATTTCAGTAACAACGCTCGGCTCTGTAGCACTTTGCCCTTTGCTAGCATGACCGTTCATTTTCCAGGATATTAATACAGATTTATTTTTCATGAGCTACTCGCTGCATATTCATTTTATTGTTCATGACATTAATAGGAAGTTTTTACGTCCTCCCCCGACAGACTCATGAAAGG